TTCCTTTGTGCACTTAAACGAATAGCAATATACATTAGTTATGTTAATTTGGCTGTGGAATGTATAGGAATTTACAGAATATTCAAAGTTTAATTGCGCTGGAGCAGTCTAGTCCTTAAAATATGTTTTTTCTCTACCCTGAAACTTTGAAAATATTGCATTCATGTGAACAGTAAAAGATTGAAAATTATGGCTTGTTTGATTTTCTTACACTTAAAACCCTTAAGCATTATATTGATAAAAGCTCTCATTCAGGGCAAGCCTGCTGTCACAGACATGAAATACTGTGTTTACATTTAGTTTGGCCACTGGAATTTCCCTTCATATTGTCACACCACTCTATTTAAAAAATAAACCTCAGCACTGCATGTCCACCCCATATTCAAAGCTAAAGGCTTTGGTTATGTGTCAATCATATCCGTTCACAAACAATTAATATTTATAGCTGATGTGTAGCTCACTGGAGATATGCTTTATCTAAGGTGAAAGTAGCCGGGAATGTGGAAGTCCTTTTAATTCCTGAATGTAAGCTATCAAAGACAGGATTTCCTCCTCCTAGTGTTCCACTTTCAACTCACATGCTGTTGTGTTATGCTTTCTTGAGAATTCTTAAATGCTCTTTTGTTCCAAGTCACATACTCTATTGTAATTACTATCCAAAGGTGTGACCTTTCAGAGCAGCACACACAGAAGTTGGCTACAAAGAAAACACCTGTACATATTGTATTATTATTAATTATTTTCTTATATATAATATTACCCTTTTTGAATGTATTTAAATACATAAAAATAATTGAATATGTTCCAGTACAATAAAGAACACATATTGGTTACTATAAAGATATCTTCATATTATTCCAACTCTTCCATAGACATTTTCCAATTGGATTAAATTAGACTTAATTAAATAACTGATGGTAATATTTTCTGCATTGGTTATTTAATTAAGGACAGAATGAGTCATGTGGAAAATATTTTTTCAAACTAGCTAATACTTCCAAGTTAAAAAATAACAAGCCAGCAACCATGAAGATTTTTTAGGGATATTTTTAGAAAATCTCTTTTAATATCTTGTGATGATTAGATTCAGTAAATTGTAAATAATTTTAGGTGATGACACCTACAGGGAACAAACTACACTCCACCAAATACATTATTTCGGAAGTATCTGGAAAAACATAAATAAATATTGGCACTTAAAGTCCTCTCAAGTCTATAACCATATGCATTTTTAAAGTTATAGCAAGACAGTTATATAATGTAAAAACAAAATGTAATTAGATTTTTACTTTAAAACTTAGTAGCAAAATGTTTGTTATTTATATTCGTGTCCAGTATGGAGCACAGCAAAATATTATACATTTTTTATAATGAATATGCAATAAAGTCTTTTTTTTTTATATAATAAAAAACAAGCAAAGTCAAGTCGGCCTGCCTTGAACAGAAAATGGAACAGCTTTACTCTCACACATCCACTCCCACTAATCGAACCTCGGTGCCAGGTGAGGCAAAAACCTCCAAAGATTTTGTTATTGACTGTTTTTATGACCTTTTGGGAATAAATTGATATTAGTGGACTAATCCCATTTTGAAAGTCAGACTGCCCTATTGAAAGAATAGACAAGAAGACCAATGACGGTATGATCGTCACGTGAAGCTGTGGATATGTTCCAGGACCATGTTCATTTACCAGAAACTATACTATACACCTGCAAGCAAGATAAGCAACCCTTCCAAACCTCAAGGTATCATTTAAAATATCATCTTTATTAACTAATATTTAAGTAATATCATAGAACTCAAGAAACATGAAGCACACCTTTTCTTGTGCTTCATCATGAAAACTCTTTCTGTGCCATTGTCCTTGCGTGTCACTAATCTACTAACTGACATATCTGTCTGGATGTCACAACACTTCTTAAAACTCAACCTTTCAAAAACTTAGCTCTTGATATTTCCTCCTGCCTGTGCACCTTCCCCCAACTTTTCCCTTGAGATTGTTAACACAACTATCCAGCCCTCCCCCCATGCCGAGGTCATAGGTGTCATCCTTGACTCGGACCTCACCCTTCTTCCCCACATCCAATCACTATCCAAATGCTGCCACCTTCACCTTCGTAACATCTCTAAAATACGCCACTTCCTCACCAAAGAAACCGCAAAATTACTCATCCACTCCCTTGTTATCTCTCGTCTTGACTATTGCAACTCCCTCCTCATTGGCCTACCTCTACACAGGCTATCCCCCCTTCAGTCTATCATGAATGCAGCTGCTAGACTCATCCACCTAACCAACCGCTCAGTGTCTGCAACCCCCCTCTGTCAATCCCTGCACTGGCTTCCTATAGCCCAAAGGATAAAATTCAAAATATTAACAACCGCGTACAAAGCCATCCACAACTCTGGCCCTGGCTATATCTCCAACCTGGTCTCAAAGTATTACCCTAACCTTCCCCTCCGCTCTTCACAAGACCTCCTGCTTTCCAGCTCCGTCATCAACTCCTCCCATGCTCGCCTCCAGGACTTTACTAGAGTGTCTCCCATTCTATGGAACTCTCTACCCCAACCTGTCCGTCTATCTCCCACACTGACTGCCTTTAGGCGATCCCTTAAGACTCATCTCTTCAGGGAAGCCTATCCCACCTCACCCTAACCACTGAACAATCACTTTCTCAAACAATCATCCCCGCACAGCTACCTCCTCATGTATCACTTGCCCCTCCCTTTTAGACTGTAAGCCCTCACGGGCAGGACCCTCCTTACCATCTTGTCTTAAATTGTATTGTGACTGTAATGTCTTCCTTTTATTGTAAAGCGCTGTGCAAACTATTGGCGCTATATAAATCCTGTATAATAATAATTGTGTACTGGTCGTTTTGACTAAATACTTTCTATGTACAGAATAATAAAGTTTAAAGCTTGTTATATGGGTCTTTGAAATACCAAGATAAGCACAGCATCCAGATGCCTGCGGTACCACCAAAAGGAAGTTTGACTCTATCCGTTGGGTACACAAAAGCCTTCAAGATGGGCAATAAAGTAGTTTAGGGATCTATTTGTAACAAAGAGTGGATAACGCTATCTGCTTTCCATTATACTTTGCAGCTTGCTATACGTTACCTAAGCTCATTCATAAAATGCAGACAGCAATATGGAGCCTGAAGTATCCTACAGAGTTCTGTCTGACATAATGCAGCAGAGAGACCTCTTGATTGGAGGAGAGCTGGTTATGTGACTGTGCACACTGTGGCCACAGCAAAAGCATGTAAATAAATTCTAATGTTGCCATTTGAAATGGAGATTCCAATTATATAATACCCATACATATGCTGACTTTATGCTCCCCTAGATGGTGTATAGGTCTGAACCTGCTGCTTTCCTTGTTGTTTGCACATTGTATTCCTTTGTGAGCAATCATGGTGTTTGTCACATTCATTGTTTTCTTCATGTTTCTTTTTTATCCCAAGTTAGAATGGCATGAACGTTCCTTAAATATAACAAATAGATATGTATACCTGCTAAATAACATTTAAATACGTATAACAGCTAGATAAAAGATAGATCTGTATAACAGCTACATAAAATATAGATATGTATAACTGCTATACGAATTATGTTACATTAAGAACCCTAATAAACTTTAATATTAATAACAAACATTTTAGTTTTTAATAAACCATACTGTATTACTAAATTAACCTCGCAGGAAGCAATATATCCTGAAAAAGCATTCCTAAGTGGACTTTCCCAGAACAGAGGTCACAAACGTAGTACTAACTGGATGTTCAATACACACTGAATACTGAAGCCGCACCCTAAGCATTGAACATTCGTGCACAATCTGATAAACAGGTTTAGGGATCATGTCTATTATGTGTGCATGAAGCTACCTGCTCGTGCAATTCAACAATACAAGTGCAGAATAGTGATGTATCCCTGGTCTTGCTGATTTCCTTTAGCACAGGGGTTCTTAAACAGGGTTATCTATACTGCTTAAGGTTATGGGATCCAAATGATGAGGTTACAGGGATGGCTCTAAATCATTTTAAGAAACGAAACAGGATCCTCTGCCTTATTGAACCTAAAATTAAATTTTAGGTTCAATAAGAAAATTAAAAATTAAAGAAATCGACTTAATGGGGGGAATTTATTAAAACAGGAGCAGACAAAATCTGGAGCAGCTGTGCATGACAACCAATCACCTTCTCTTTGGAGTTTGCTCAGTTAAGATTTGAAAATGTAAAAGATAAGCTGATTGGTTACCATGCTCAGCTGCTCAAGTTTTTGTCTACTCCAGTCTTGATAAATTCCCCTCAACATGTCACATGACATACAAGTAACATCATCAGTAACTGTACCTCAATCCCCCAAAGACGACAGCAAAAATGTCATTAGTTGTAGCTAGCTTGTGTATTGCTTTATGGTTTTTAGATAAATATAATAAAATCCTTATGATTTTCTTTCAGCTGTTCTGTTCCTTGCTATCCATACGTAAATAATTGTCAAGTTATTGCCATCTTTTGAAGTCATACTGGTACATATAAGGTTAGTGATGATGATCTCAACAGCCTTAGAAAGAGGTATGGGGACATATTGTGAAATCCATTGGGGTGGATAACAGCAAAAAAAAGGTTTAGAACCCCTGCTTTGCTAAATCAGGTCCCTGTGCTTTTATTGGCTTCTTCTCAAAACACAAAAACACACCAAAAGCTTTACTGGTTTTACCATATAGAAGTCCCTTTTCCCCTATGAGTATGTCTTTAAAGTAGGAACTGTTGCGATAATGGTTCTATGTCTCCTGTATTGCATTGTGGAATATGTTGGTGGTCCAAACTTTACTATTTGTAAACATTATTTCTTTTAAAGAATTATAACTCAGTTATGTTTATTTTTTTTCCAAAAACCTTCTAGTACATACAATATCTACTGAAAATCTCATCCAACCATGATAAAAAATTATAACTCCTAAGTACAAACATACATAAAGGTTATTAACTTACCAGTATGCTGAACAGTAGCAATATAAACAGCGATAAAATAGAATATATGCTGCATCTTCCTTTTCCAGTGATTACACCACATTCCATTTAAGAGGGGCATCCTGAAAAAAGAAAGGAACCATTTATCAGTGCATTTCTCTGACCAGAATCGGACGTCTCTTCTCTGGCTAATGAAGTGTTTATGAAGTATTAACATTCTGACAGCTGCTGCTCAGTCACATCTATGACACTATTCATATTGCTCAAAGTGTTATTTGTATTGAACACTCTGCTTGTGTGCAACTGTTACGTTCGGTAGCAAAATAATTTACAAGTATTAAATGACATGTCTTTAGCAGATATTTTATGTCAACATTTTAACAGATACCTCTCAGATTTATGCCGAAGCATACATAAACAAATGTAAGATATGAAGATATGTTTTTTTGCCATTTCATATTTTCTTTTCAAAAAATATGCTTGTGTACAAATTTAGAGAATGCAATACATTTTAATAAAATAAAAAGTTTTAGGGTTTACCTTAAAGACACCATACATTTGCCAACGAAGCCCTGGACTATTTATCAAGCACATAGTGAAAGTTTCATTTATTGCACATTTTACTAACACTTTGTATTTCTTTATTCACCAGAATTATATTTTAGACAGTGAGACGTGTATCAATTGGGTCACACAGCAAGGTAACGCTAAACAGGAGCAACAAAAAGATCTTTAGACAGATTTAATGTTGTGGCTTGATTAAAAAATACACTTTTAGTTGTTTTGCAGCAGCACAAAAAACGTGACCCTGACCAGTTTTTAATTGTGCATCAGCTTGGAGAAAACATATATCTATAGGTTACTGATTCTCAAAACTATTGGTTGCCAACCAAATTGGTTTGGCATGGTTTTCTGCTGCCATCCACTCGCTCACTTGTCTTTGCTGTTATCTGCCCTTTCGCCAGTTATTTATAGGTCCTCTGCCTAATGCTGTGAATAGTGCTCAGACAGAGCAGCAGCATAGAGAGTCATGTGCAGCTGGTATTAGAGCTGGCTGCTAGAAGGGGGTGAGTATAAGGTGAGTATAAGGGTGAAGAGGTGATACGTAAAGGAGGTACAAAAGGAGGGGGTGTAAGAGTGGGCAGTGTTGAAGGGGTAGTGCATGAGATGCAGTGGTGGAGGAAGGATGCAGAGGTCAGAAGGGGTGGAAGAGGGGTCCATAGGGATGCAGAGGAAAGCAATGGATAAGATGTGCAGACAAAAGCAGTAAAGTCCCTGACTATTTTAATGAAGATCTTCTTTGAGGTAGGCTCAAAGTGTCAGCTCTCTACATTCTATGTGAATATCTACATTCTGTATGCAGAAAAGCATATGTATTGGAAGAGTTTCAGTTTCTATTGTGCTGAGGTTTAAATGTGTCTAATTTTAAAAGTGTTTGTGGGACTTTTGTTGTGATAAAGCATATGTTGTGGGTACAAGAACTGTTATTAACTGTTTTTACTGTAATTAAGCCACTCCCACTGTCAAAGCAGTGTGACTAAATCACTGTGGCACATCATTGTCTTCCTTTGAGTGCCCATGAGTGCTCTTTGAGGTGAGCATTAACATTAGATTGGCATCGAGGAATCTGTTCTCTGTTTTGAAATATACTGTATTTTAACAACATTCTTTTTTTAAATAGTTTACGGAAACCCTGGAGACTGATATAGATCACATACTATAATCTATTTATAGCGTAACTCCTAACTCCCCTTGTTGTTTCTATTTTAACAACATATTAGCTTTTCCCTTCACAGGTTTACAAATGAGAAAAGAGAACTACACTTAAATAGAAACAAATGCATTTACTGTTGTGAGTTTTTTTTTTGGGGGGGGGGGTTCAGCCATTGTCATTTGTTTTTGTATAGCTTTGCTGTTATTTTGGTAATAGTTCTATTCTAAGGTCCCAGAACAGTACCCCTGCCCTAGATGTAAATCTGTCTTATCTCCATTGTTCAGAACAGAATTCTGTTGCAAACCTGTGCAAATCTGTCTCAAAAGGGGTAACAAAATATACCAAAAATGTCCCATAAACTCGGTAAACCACGAGGCAGCTTGATTTGCATCTAATTTTTTTGCTAATTTTCTTAAAACATGTCCCCCAATTTGTTGAGAAAAATTGGAAGAATTGATACACTGAGGAAGGCTGCTTGCTGCTCCAAGAATAGGCAGTTCTCAGTTGCAGCATCTGGTCACTACTGCAGGCATTAAAAACACTTAGAGGGTTATTCACTAAAGGGTGAAGAGTTTGAAGAAGGTAGGAGAAGGAAACAACCTAGGACAACATAGTTTAATAGGCTATCATCTATGAGAATAGTCCGAACAGCAGCGAGTAGCCTGCCGGAGGTTCGGCTCAGCTGATCCAGATGTGGGATCGGCTGAGTCGAACTCCTTCTGCACTTCGGGTCGGCACAACATGCTGCGCATGTTTGGCCGACCCGAAGCCAGCCGCAGCAAGCCGATGTACGGCTGATTTTAGACGGTGTACGGCTGAAATCAGCTGTACAAGCCTGAGGTGAATAGCCGAACAGCGTCACTTCGGGTCGGTTATACACTCGGCTGCCTACGGCAGCTTTGTGAATAGACCCCTTAGACAATATTCAGTTATCATGGAGTTCAGCTCTAAACCATTCTAGTAACTTAACTTTGTATTCAAAGCTTTGTTAATGGTTTGTTTTAATGATGTGGTGGGCAAAATCCAGCCCTCCAGCCGTTGTGGAACTGCAAATATAGGATTTGTAGTTAAAGCACAGCTGCAGGGCCAGAGTTTGTCCACCTCTGTTTTAATGGCTAAAGAACTTTATTTAATAAGTAGCATTGAAAATTTTGCATCAATACAATATGTCTCATAACATTTACAGCAGTAACGCAGAGTGAAAAGAGCGCAGTACTGCAACACATCGTATTGCACCAAGCTAGGTGCAATGCAATGCACCTAGCATTTAAATGGCACTCCAATGCATATCCAGCATGTAGTTTTGTTATAATGCATTGCAGTGCACCCAAAGGCACAATGTCTGGAATTCATAGTAGCGTAAACACTCATCAGAAATCATTCTCCCATCCATGTAACAAAAGCCGCAACTTGCGAAAGATTCATGTAACTGTTGGTAAGGTATATATGAATCTGTTGCAGAATTGCCTCTGACACAATTTTGTCTCCGACAGAATTTTTGTCTGTGACACAATACTTCCACCTTCACGTTTCTTATCACTGTTATGGTGGTATTTCTTCATTTGTTGAAACCACAGTGCCAGACTGGAAGTGTTGCACTTGAGCTACCTGAATTTGTCAGAAATAGCAAGAAAAATATTGTGTGGTTCCCGTGGTTCATTTTCTAATACAGCCAACACACCAGAAAAGTGTTGCAACTGTTTTGTTGACTTGCCCCAATGTGAATTGTGGTGGTCTGCAGAGAATCAGAAACAGAGCACAAGCCATTTATCTGCATTGGAGATCCATCCAAATGAATAGGCTGTGATAACTCAGCACAGTGCCATTGGCAGCACAGTGACTTACTGGTTATCACTTTGCCGTGCAGCACTGGGAGTCCCTGGTTCTAATCCCGGTCAGGACTCTATCTGCCATTGGTGTGTATGTTCTCCTTGTGCGTGTTTGGGTTTCCTCCAGGTACTCTGGTTTCCTCCCACACTCCAAAGACCTGCTGGCATGTTAATTGGCTCCTGTCTAAATGGGGCATGTGTGCAATTGGGACTTAAGAGTGTAAGCTCCTTGAGGGCAGGGACTGATGTGAATGTAAAGTGCTGTGTAAATTATCAGTGCTATATAAATACCTGAAATAATAATTAATAACTGTATGTACTTTGTGTACTTTGACGCATGACTTACTACAATGTAGGTAGGTACAAACAAATATTATTGGTTTTTAATAGTTTATATTTTAAACACAGACCAATACACATGTGTTTATACAAGTCCAACTGCAGCCAAAAGCTTTTCTTCCTTTTAGATAGAGTGAGGAAGGTTTAACCTGTATCTTTGTTGGACAGAAATCCACTTACTTTTTGTAAGAACAGCAATTGAAGGGAAGTCCCAACACATAGAAAAGTGGTAGAGGTTAGAACATCTGAAAACATTTTCTTTGCTGTCTGTGTTTTTCTGTCCCAGTGACACCTGCACCCCCCATTTTCTGTTCAGGTGTCACAGGGGCAGCGACTGAGGGGAATTCTCCCCATGGGATCACAGACAAAACTAGAAAACAAACAGAAATTTTAGGTCTTCCTCACTATTTAAACCAAACAAATGCCATCTGCTGTCTACTGAGCAGGAAAGTCGGCAGTGACTCATACTATCTGTTATTTCTCGGTTTTACTTTCTGTCAGAAAGAGCAAAACTGTCCCTAAACCCAGTTACTAAAACCTCATATAAACTTTAACTTACTTGAATGATTTTAAAAGTCTTCAATGTTAAATGTTAAGTGGACTCTGATGTAAAGGGGCTAATCCCACTTTTTGTGTGTTTTTCCTTGGGGGTCCCCCTTTCTTAAAATCTATACCAGACCCGTAACTTGTATAAGGGTTGGTATGCATTTTGGAGGGACCATGTGTGGGTTTTTTTACATTTATGGTTTTTACATTTTATACTGAGGTGCCTTGAGAATTTGCATACTTTTAAAGGGTGCCATGACTGAAAAAAAGGTTGAGAAACACTGAATTAGACAAACCAACCCTGTGTTTGCCTAAACAGTCAGTCATGCAAAGAAAAATATGTATGTTTCATTTTTCCTAAAACTTGATTGGCTGTATGACAAACGTTCTCTAATCTGAGAAACCAGAAAGCAAAGCATACAAGTGAAACTTGATGTTCCTGGGCATACTTTGGCTTTTGTTTTCCTTATAGAAGAAGTTTATAGAGAAACAGCCATATCTAGTCAATTTACTGTCATTGTACACTATGGCAATTCAGCCCTTTTTCCTTTCTAGAATGATAGTACTGCCAAGTACCAAGGCAGATTAGGCAGCTAAAGCATCTTTCTATCATATGGTTGGCACCAGTTCTCGTGACGCAAAAGATAATAGATTCTGAAGCAGCAAACAGTACCTTCTATTCATTAATGTGGC